CACATTTTAAAAAATGTTTCTGGTAGTGTGTTTAAACCTTTTTTTTTGGGAGAAACATGGTGTGCTAGATCCTACTGAGCAGTAGATACTCGGGTGTTGTATAGGACTTAGTGGTTCTCTAATAGGATGGTCTCATGAAGGATGCTGTCTTGTGATTCCTGTTGTCATTGGTTGAGAGCCCAATCATTATTTTCAAATGAATTACAACTAGATTATGTTACAAAGATAGAAAAAAAAAAAAAGGCAAGGAAAGCATTTATATCATCAAGGAGACCAAAATAGTAGGACCTGCTTGCCCTACTGATACAAATGCTGTAACACAATAGCTACGGTTTACTGAATGGCTGCAGCATTCTAGCACTTCATCTTATTTTAGCTCTGGCAACAGCCCCATTAGCTGTTGTTACTGTTAGCCACATTTCATGTGGGCTAGGGAATTGAGGTCTAGCAGATGGAGTAGTTCACCCGAAAGCTCATGTGTTAAATGGCACAGTTGGTATTCAAACCCAAGTCTGTTTGACTCGAAAACTCATGCTTTGAACCAGAAGTCTATACAGCTGAAAAGTCCCTGATTGCAGAATTTACATTTTGCATTCATTTGTGTCTTGAGAATTGCAGCAAGTACTTGAGCCTGGTGTAGTAGCATTCTTGTGGAAGAGAGTAGGTCAGGTAAACATTTTATCACTGTGACGACCTCTTAATTCTTGGGAAGGATGAGCTCTTTTCCAAGTCAGACTCGCTGGGGGTTTACTGTGCTCATGTAATCTCTGAAGAATGAAGGAATTTCCCTGATGTATGAAGTTGTGGCGTGTATAACATTCTTTCTATAGTTGAACCGGATAAATATTAGCAAGTGTGTTTGGGATATGACACTAGAAACTCTTTCCTGATTTTTTTTCCTATCAAAAATTTGTTTCGTTTATTAATTGACACATGAAAGTTGTACCTACTTGTGGGGTGCTATGTGATTTTTTTTTAATTTTTTAATTTTTTTAATGTATTTTGACAGGCAGAGTGGACAGTGAGAGAGAGAGACAGAGAGAAAGGTCTTCCTTTGCCGTTGGTTTGGCCGCCGCGGCTGGCGCGTTGCGGCCGGCGCACCGCGCTGATCCGATGGCAGGAGCCAGGAGCCAGGTGCTTTTCCTGGTCTCCCATGGGGTGCAGGGCCCAAGCACCTGGGCCATCCTCCACTGCACTCCCGGGCCACAGCAGAGAGCTGGCCTGGAAGAGGGGCAACCGGGACAGAATCCGGCGCCCCAACCGGGACTAGAACCCCGTGTGCCGGCGCCGCAAGGCGGAGGATTAGCCTAGTGAGCTGCGGCGCCGGCCCTATGTGATATTTTGATACATGGATACATTGTATAATGTTAAAGGCAGGGAAAAGTTACTTGCCTCCTCAAACAATTATTATTTGTGGTGAGAATTTTTTTTTCCATTTGTGAGGTTTTTGGAATGACAGCTGATTTGCAGTGTGATTTTCCTAATAAAGAAGTGAAACCTAAGCGAGCTCCCCTGTTCCTTGGTGCTTTGGATAAAAGCCTTACTTAAATTTCTCGGAGGATTTTCAGGGCTTGCTTTTGTCAGTAACCCACAGAGCAGTATGTTTTGATTTGAAAACTGAAAGGGGGAAGGTGGGCTTTGAGAGCAGCAGTTCTTCATCATTTTGGAGATTGCTTATTTCTTTTTGAAACTGAGGAAAGCTATGGTAACCTTCCCCAGGAAGAAAACATGCAATATGCCCACAAATACAATTTTACATACAAATTTTGTAGGTTCACCCACTGCTATGCCTATTGACAGTACCCCGGATTTAAAATACTTTAAGGGAAAAAATTAAGGAGATGAGTAAAATTTGAGCATCAGTTCTTAATTTTTATTTTTAAAGATTCATTTATTTATTTGAAAGGCACAGTTACAGAGAAAGAGAGAGAGAAAGAGAGAGAGAAGGAGGTCTTCCATCCGCTGGTTCACTCCCCAGACAGCTGCAATGGCTGGAGCTGGGTCAATCGGAAGAAGCCAGGATCTAAGAGCCTCTTCCGAGTCTCCCACTTGGGTGCAGAGGCTCAAGTTCTTGGGCCATCCTCCACTGCTTTCCCAGGCTACAGCAAGAGAGCTGGATGGGAAGTGGAACAGCTGGGAGTCGAATCAGCGCCCATGTGGGATGCCAGTACTGCAGGCAGCAGCTCCACCCGCTACGCCATAGCACCAGTCCCAGTTCTTAATTTTTTTCCACAGATGTATATCTCATAAAATTGAACTAATAAAAATCTTGTTTTAGTATCCATATCCAGGATATTTTGTTCAGCCTTTCAGTTGTCACTTTTCTCCACTTTGTTAAAAAAAAGTTAATATGGATGCTTGTGAGTAAGTAAGCTAAGGCTCCTAAGGGATAGATAAAATTCTCTGATGATTTCCAACATTGTCTTTTAAATTTATTTCTTCTACCATGAAAGCATTTTCTCAGAACTACTAAGGCCAAAGAATTGCATGAACTCCGTCAATTGCTACTTAAGATTTCAGTTTCTTCTTTAACTAAAATCTCTTTATACAAAGCACTTCTTTCCTTTTTACAACTTCTGATGTGGGTATTCAGGCATTTTTCTAGGCAAGTTACTTTTTTTCTTTTTTTTAAGATTTATTTATTTAAGAGGCTAGCGCTATGGTGCAGTGGGCTAAGCTGCTGCCTGCAACGCCAGTAGCCCATATGGCTACCAGTTCAAGTCCCAGCTGCCCCATTTCCAATCCAGCTCCCTGTTTACAGGCCTGGGAAAGCAGTGGAAGATGGCCCAAGTGCTTGGGCCCCTGCCACCCATGTTGGAAACCTGAATGAAGCTCCTGGCTCCTGGCTTCAGCCTGGCCTAGCCCTGGTCATTGTGGCCATTTGGGGAATGAGCCAGCAGATGGAAGCTCTCCCCACTCCCTTTTGCCTCTACCTCCCTCCCTCTCTCTTGCTGTAACTCTGACTTTCAAATAAATAAATAAATCTTTTTTTTTAAAAAAAAAGGAAAGACAAAATAAGAAAAAAATCTCATTTAAAAAAAGATGTATTTGTTTGGAAGGCAGAGTTACAGAGAGAGAGAGCGAGAGACAGAGAATGAGATCTTCCATCTGCTGGTTCATACCCCAAATGGCCTCAGTGGTTGCCAGGCCAAAGTCAGGAACCAGGAGCTTCCTCCGGGTCTCCCACATGGACAGCAGGGGCCCAAGCACTTGGGCCATCTTTCCCTGCTTTCTCAGGTGTATTAGCAGGGAGCTGGATTGGAAGTAGAGCAGCTGGGACTTGAACCAGTGCCCATATGGGATGCCAGTGTCACAGGCAGTGCCTTAACCATCTTCACCACATTGCTGGCCCCAAGTTACATGTTTTGTGACATTAATCCCCATAGCGACTCTGAGGGACTTACTGTCCCCATTTTGCCGATGTGGAAAGCAGAGCTAAGAAAGGTTAAATACCTGGATCGGGTCCAGCTCTGGTGCTGGTGGACGCGGCCGGGATTTGAACTCAGGTAGATCTAATTCCGAAGACCATTTTTAGAAACACGTTTTACCATTCTGCTGTCTGATCTCTGGTATGGTCCTATCTGAATGAAAAGTCCTAATCTCCATCAGTGGAAGGGGCTCTGCGTTTTCTTCTACAGGTAACCTGTTGTAAAACTGCTGACTAGTTGAAGAGTTTTTAGGTTGTGAATTGTCAAAAGCACTGAATATACTGGCTAGATTGTTAAAGGTGAAACAAGGCGTTTGGCTGGCTGAGCGCGGGCCAGTGGTGCTGTTGGTGTGGAGGGATGTTTGGGATACCAGACTCAGAGTTGCCGTGACTGAGGAGCTTGTGGGAGACTCGTTGCTAAACTTAGCACTGTTTTCAGGAAGGAAAAGCCCTAATGGTTTGGAACAGGACTGAAAAAGAATTTACCTCTAAAGGGTAGATAAGCTTTAAATATTGAAGTGGACCGGAGGCCTGGTGTGGATTTCCCGACTCCCAGCGAGCCGCAGGAGGGAACTCCCAGCCGGCCGCCCAGGGGTTTTGAGCTGGCGCTGGGTCAGCATTCTGGGAAGGTAGTGGAGTTTGTGAGTCAGCAACTTTCTTGACAAAATTATTGTTCTTCCAGCCCTTGTACTTTCCCTGGTTTCAGCCTTTTATATACAGTGAAACAGAAAGAAGATGGAGCAGGTTGCCTTACTATATAACCTCGGGTTTTATTTTATTTTATTTTTTGAACAGGCTACACAGGCTTTGAGGCAGACAGCACACAGCAGAGGGGAAGTAGGTAGAATCCCGAGAGATTGATTGAAGTGATTGGAGAACGAGGGAAGCTGGGTCAGAGAAGGGAATTTGAGCACAGCATCTCCTTGCCTCTTGAAAACCCCTGGATAGAGGAAATGAGTGTGCATGGAGGTGAATAAATACCACGGAACTCCCAGAGGCTTAGATCTGCTCTAAAGGAAAATGCAGTTGACTGATCTGTGGATGGGAGGGTAAATTAGATGTGAAACGCACAGGGATTGTGTGGAGTCACACTTTTTAGAGTCTCTAGGTATTTGCAAGTTAAGAGAATGCGTTTTGTGCAGCTTCCTGTCACAATTCCAGTGCGGTCTGAAGGACCACAGGCACAGTTCAGGTGGCAGGTGTCCAACGCCACTTTGATGCGTGGTGTAGGTGCTTAGTTAGGACAAGGAAGTGGGACTGCTTGGCTTAGAAAGCACGGTTTCCTTCTTGCCTTCCCCCTCTTCCCCACACAGCCCCTGATGCTGTGGGGGGGGGGGGGCCAGCGTAGAGGCAGGGCAGCTCCTCTCACCTGTTTCCATTTTCTCCCCTGTTACAAGTTCACAGTTTTTCACCTTGGGAGCTAAAACAACATAAGCAACTTTTCTAGAGCCAAAATACCTTTTGATCTTGTGGTTCACACTGTGGGGCACTGGACTGGGGGCAGGTGGGTGGAGATACAAGGCATTTGGACCCTCGTGGTTTATGGGATTGTCTTTTTCCCTTTTTCCCCCAGGAACGGCGTGAATGTTGAGGGGGCGACACACAAGCAGGTGGTGGACCTGATCCGAGCAGGCGAGAAGGAGTTGATCTTGACAGTGTTGTCCGTGCCTCCTCACGAGGCCGATAACCTAGACCCCGGTGACGACTCGTTGGGACAGTCCTTTTATGATTACACAGAAAAGCAAGCAGTGCCCATATCGGTCCCCACATACAAACATGTGGAGCAGAATGGTGAGAAGTTTGTGGTGAGTGTCAGCCCAACTTGATCCTCAAGCATCCAGCTTTTGTCTGCCCCCAGTCCTACCGTCATGGCTCTGTGAGAGCAGTAGAAATCAGAGTCTGCAGCCTGGTCCGTCTGTCTGTCTCCCAGGACCACGGGCTCACGTGTCGATAGAAGACACCAACCCTGATTGATCACAGGGGGTGACCCCCAGTGATGAAGAAGTACCCTGTTTCTGCTTAAAAACAATTCCACTTTATTCCCAGAGAGTTTTCAGGTTTGCACTCTGGCCTGTGCTAAACGTGTTAGTTTGTTTTGTTTGTTTGCTGCTGCTTTTATTGGTTGTCTTATTTTTTTGCTAAGAGTAGTCTCTCGTTTACTATTTTTTCTTTTTTAAGATTTATTTATTTTATTTGAAAGTCAGAGTTACACACAGAGAGAAGGAGAGGCAGAGAAAGAGAGAGAGAGAGAGGTCTTCCATCCACTGATTCACTCCTCAGTTGGCTGCAACAGCCGGAGCTGCTCTGATCTGAAGCCAGGAGCCAGGAACTTCTTCTCAGTCTCCCACGCAGATACAGGGGCCCAAGGACTTGGGCCATCTTCTACTGCTTTCCCAGGCCATAGCAGAGAGCTGTATCAGAAATGGAGCAGCCGGAACTTGAACTGGTGCCCATATGGGATGCTGGCACTACAGGTAGTGGCTTTACCCGCTATGCCACAGCACCAGCCCCTCATTTACTGTTGACTCTGGAGTTACAGAGCAAGATTAATGTTAAAAAGTGGTAACTGGGGCTGGTGCTGTGGCACAGCAGATTAAAACCCTGGACTGCAGCACTGGCATCCCATATGGGCATTGTTCAAGTCCTGGCTGCTCCACTTCCAATCCAGCTCCCTGCTATTGCATCTGGGAAAGCAGTGGAAATGGCCCAAGTGCTTAGGCCCCTGCACCTGTGAGGGAGACTGGGAAGAAGCTCCTGGCTTCAGATCAGCTCAGCTCCAGCTGTTGTGGCCATTTGGAGAGTGAACCAGCAGATGGAAGATCTCTCTCTAACTCCATCTTTCAAATAAATAAAAATAAATCTTAAAAAAAAAAAAGGTGGTATCTTCCAAAATATTTGGGTAATACAAAAGTTTGTCCATTTCAGAATCTTTATCTTTGTCCACTCCTCTCTACATCCTGTTCTTCTTCGTTTTCTTTGGAGAATCTGCAGGATAAACTGATTTTTCCCACGGTCCTAATTATACTCTCAAAACAATTCCTGTGAGCCCTGTTTTACACACTTAGAGTCTTGCTTTTGTAGATATGCAGAAAAACCTTTGTTTTTTCAAAAACTGGTTGCTACTGATGACCCAAACTACTTTTTAAATAAAATTTATGTATTTGAAAGGCTGAGTGACAGAGAGAGATCATCCATTCACTGGTTCACTCCCCAAATGACCACAATGGCTGGGGGTGGTCAGGCCACAGTCTGGAGCTCTGGAGTTCCATCCAAGTTTCCTATGTGGGTGGCAGAGCCCAAATATTTGGGCCACCATCCTCCTCTGCCTTCCCAAGCACATCAGCATAAAGCTGGATCAGAAGTGGAGCAGCAGCACTCTGATACTGGGATGCTGACACTGCAAGCAGTGGCTTAACCTGCTGCATCACAGCACTGGCCAGGACTCTGGGTGTTGAGAGCTGACCTGCTAACTCGAGTTGTGGCCTCTGAAACTGGGATGGCCCCTGAATGGGGAAGAGCTACTGAACTTTAGTGGAGCGACGAGAAAAGCAAAGAAGCTAGAAAAGTTGCAGAGAGGCCAAGTATTGTTTAGCTGCGTCCGTGAGCTAGCTGGAGATGACAGCACATGGGCTTTATGTTAGCATGGTCTCTGCGTTCTTAGAACCACATACAAAATTGAGAGGCTGATTTATTTATTTAGGATTTTATTTATTTATTTGATAGGCAAAGTTACTCACAGTGAGAGGGAGAGACAGAGAGAAAGGTCTTCCATCTGCTGGTTCACTCCCCAAATGGCTGTGATGGCCGGAGCTGAGCCAGTCAGAAATCAGGAGCCTGGAGATTCTTCCAGGTCTCCCACTCAGGTGCAGGGACCCTAGGACTTGGGCCATCTTCTACTGCTTTCCCAGGCCAGAGCGGGGAGCTGGATTGGGAGTGGAGCAGCCAGGACTAGAACCGGTGCCTTTATGGGATGCCGGCATCACAGGTAGAGGATTAACCTACTGTACCACAGCGTCGGCCCCAAAATTGAGAGTTTTGTGTTTTGAAAGTGCAAACTGGATCATAAGACAAGTAAGAAATTGAAATTAAGGTCAGGTCCTAAAAGTAGAGCAGATTAGATGTTGAGATCTTTTGGGAGTTACCTAAGACCTTGGGAACTTCTGAGAAAGAAATGAGACTACTTATTGTCCTTTAAAAAATTAGTCTTACTGAGCATGATTTACCTGCGTTCACATTCACCCATGTCAGGTGTTCCTGAACGGTCTTCCTCTCCCACTGCACTGTCAACCACTGATCGGCTCTCTTTCGCCATATTCTGCCCTTTCTGGAATGCCAAGTAAATGGAATCATTTAAAATGTACTCTTCTGTGTCTGGCTTTGTTCAGTTAGTACAGTCCTTTTAAGACTGACACACATTCTTGCATATATCACTAATTTATTCTGGGGCTGGCATTGTGGCATAGTGGGTTAAGCTGCGGCTTGTCATCACTGGCATCTCATATTGGAGTGCCAGTTGGAGTCCTGGCTGCCCTGCTGCCAGTCCAGCTCCCTGCTAGTGTGCTTGGCAAAGCTATGGAAGATTGCCCAAGTGCTTGGGCTCCTGGCTTTGGTGCTGCAGCCATTTGGGGAGTGAAGAAGTAGATGGAAGATCAATCTCTCCCCACCACCCAGTCTGTCTTTCAAGTAAATCAAATCTTTATATGTATATATATATATATATGTATGTATATGTATATGTGTATATATGTATATATATATACGCCTAGGTTTGAACCTGGTAAGAAACTTTTCCGGGGCTGGCGCAGTGGCACAGTAGGTTAATCCTCCGCCTGCGGTGCCCACATCCCATATGGGCGCTGGGTTCTAGTCCTGGATGCTCCTATTTCAGTCCAGCTCTCTGCTGTGGCCCGGGAGGGCAGTGGAGGATGGCCTGAGTTCTTGGGCCCCTGTGCCCGCATGGGGGACCAAGAGAGGGCTCCTGGCTTCGGATCGGCGCGGCTCTGGCCGTTGCGGCCATTTGGGGAGTGAGCCAAGGGAGGGAAGACCTTTCTCTGTTTCTCTCTCACACTGTAACTCTACCTGTCAAATAAATAAATAAAAAATTAAAAAAAAAAAAACTTTTCCAAAGTGACTTCACCATTTCTGCATTCTCCTTTGCAGTGGAGGGTTCTTGTTATTTCATAACCTCTTGAATACTCGGTATTTTCAGTTTTTTTTTTTTTAATTTCTAGCCATTCCTGTGGGTTAGTGATGGTTCACTCTGATTTTAATTTGCATTTATCTTCTGGCTCATGGTGATGAGCTGATTTTTGTTGAGTTTAATGGTCATTTGTATATCTCTATTGGTGAAATATCTCTTCAACCCTTCTGTCTGTTTTAAAAATTGTATTGTCTTATTATTGTATTCTTTGTGCATTCTGGATATAAATCCTTTATCAGATAGATATTTTGTAAATATTTCTCCCAGTCTGGCTTTCCTGCTAAATATTAAAAAAAAAAAAAAAATGTCGGCCAGCACTATGGCTCACTAGGCTAATCCTCTGACTTGCGGCGCCGGCACACCGGGTTCTAGTCCCGGTCGGGGCGCCGGATTCTGTCCCGGTTGCTCCTCTTCCAGTACAGCTCTCTGCTGTGGCCCGGGAGTGCAGTGGAGGATGGCCCAAGTGCTTGGGCCCTGCACCCGCATGGGAGACCAGGAGAAGCACCTGGCTCCTGGCTTCAGATCAGCGTGGTGCGCTGGCTGCAGCACGCCAGCCACAGAGCACTGGCCGCAGCGGCCATTGGAGGGTGACCCAACGGTAAAGGAAGACCTTTCTCTCTGTGTCTCTCTCACTGTCCACTCTTCCTGTCAACAACAACAACAACAATATCTTTGAAAGAACAGAAGATTTTAAGTTTTGATGAAATTCATTTTATTAGTTTTTTGGTTTAGGGATGGTGCTTTGTGTTCTAAGAAATCTACCTAACCCAAGGACATAAATCTTTTATGTTTTCTTCTTGAAGTTTTATAGTTTTAGCTCTTTTTTTGTGAAACATCACTGAAGTGTGATTTACATAGTATAGGTTCAGTGATATAGAAGGTACAGTTTAGTGGGTTTTAGTGTGCTTAGGGTTGTACATCCATCACTGCAATCAATTCGAGAACATTTTCATGACTTCTAAAAGAAACTCTGTTGCCATCACCCCCCCAAACCTTTCATCCCCTTCAGCTCTAGGCAGCCACTAATCCATTTCTGTCCTTTTTGATCTATTCTGAACATTTCCTGTAAGTAGAATCGTGTGTTTTTGAGACTGCCTTCTTTAACTTAGCATAATATTTTCTTTCTTTTTTAAAAAAGATTTATTTATTTATTTGAGAATCAGAGTTAGAAACAGAGAGGTCTTCCATCTATTGGTTCATTCCCAATTGGCCACAACGCAGCTAAAGCCAGGAACCAGGAGCTTCCTCTGGGTCTTACCATGTGGGTGCAGGGACCCAAGGACTTGGGCCATCTTCTACTGCATTCTCAGGCCATAGAAGAGAGCTAGATTGGAAGTGGAGGAGCTGAGTCTCAAACCGGTGCCCATTTTGGATGCTGGCACTGCAGGCGGTGGCTCTACCCTCTACGTCACAGTGCGGGCCCCAGCATACTATTTTCAAGACATATCTACATTGTAGCATGTATCAATACTTCATTTTTATTGCCAAGTAACATTGTATTGTGTCAGGTTTTCAAATGAAGAAAGGAAACACAGGAGCCTCCATCAGAAAAGAGAATCCCCAAATAGCTCTCAGATAAGCTTTCAGCACTTTTTATTGAGGGGA